ATGGTCGAAACTGTAGCGGGGCTAAGTGACTATCCGTAAGCGTCAACACTGTTTATTAGCTGTGATTTGCATTTTGATACATTATCTCGTATTTGAAGCGTATTGTATACGGACACTTGCCCTTCAAAGATAATGCAGTGGGTTATTTAAAAATATGCGCAGTGTGCTTGGCAGTGCAAAAAAAAAAAGAAGTGGCGGACAAAACCCTTTGTCATTGCAGAGCGATCCTGCAACCCACCTGGCCGATCTCAGCTCCGATCGAGCCGTCTATCCGTGGTCGCTTGCACTCCGCCGCCGGTGACTCGGTAAAAGCCGCCGTGGTCTGGCCGTCGGGCTCCGGATCCCCCCTTTTCATTCCCCTGACAGCCGCCGAGGAACCGGCAGCGTTCGGGTGAACCATCGCGTCCAAGTCCCTCTCCCGGTCCATTAATCCCCGGGATACGGGTAGCATAATTGATGCTACGTCGGTCGACATTAACATTGAAAGCCGATCCCGTCCTAAACTTATTTATTTAAATCCTTGGCTGCCTTTTCCTTACCCCTTATTCTCCTGCTCGTAATGTGCCGTTTTACCTACGTATTTCAGCAACTTCTCCCCGTCCCTAACGAGTCTCTTTCCTCACGATCGGATACCTTTGGATCTGTTGAACCGCATGGAGCACAACGTTGGAGCGGAATGCCGATGTAACGGGCACAATACCTTACGAAAGGGAGACCGGCACAATAATAATATAATGTTGCTGGCGCTTTTCCAACGCCTGTAAAGATAGCATTTGTGACTCGGGCCTTGCGGAGGCTTCGAATGTGATGGATTCCTGTTTATTATGCGGAGTCTCCGGACAGGACCGCGGCTCAATCCGGATCCCCGTCGTTTCCGTAGTTGTGCTGTTAATTGGTGATCCTGTCCCTAAACATCAATGTAAAGTAAAACTGTGGCTAAACATGCGTTGTCAAAACAAAACATAACTAACGTCTAAATGATGCTGATCATTAGTGATATTTGACAAGGTGACAAAATCGTGTCCGGCTATATTAAGATTGTTTAAACACTTAAATAGCCCGTTTCATTGTCAGAACCACACGCACGTAAACGGATTGCGTCTCATTATCGGTAATAAAAAAACATGCCCCATATGCGTTTTACCTATGACGCAAAATGTTAAGCGAAATATCATCTAGGCTGCCGATCCTACCCCAACGACATGGCAAATATCTTTAGCTACTGGCTATCCATACCATGCAGATTCCCCTATATTAGCTAGCAAGCTCCCCTTTCGGGCGCTAGGGCTAAAGAAAAGCAAAGCAGGCGAACAGCTCTGGATACGATCCCCTGGTCTCCTTGTCGTTACAGATGATCTCCCAAAACAAAGCAGTCCACCGTCTCCTTTCTTCCCCCCGTTCCGTTTCCTCTCTCCCAATCCGTTCGGTGAATTCTTGCGGCGTGTGCGATTTCCTCTCTCCCTCCCTTCCCTCCCTCCTCTCCTCTATACTGTATCCTTGATTCCTCTTCCTACTTTTCCTCGGTGGTCATGCTCCTGTTCTCCCCACCCCTCCTGCTCTCTCTCAGCGCACAAACACATAAACAGCAGTCACGTATGAATCATTATACATTTTCTTCGCTACGCATTAAAACTGGGAATGAAAGGATTGCGCCAGTGCAATTTGTGCTACACCTAATATCAGTATCCGGGCGGCGCTATCAGGCGATAACGCCGCAATCCACACTGAGGTTGGGTTTTACAGACAGACGCACATTGGATTTTATCGCTTGGTGGAAAATCTGCCTCTTTCCCATTCTCCCAAAAGTGGGATTTTGGGCCCTAAACTCCGGCTTTTTAATTCTGCCAACTCTTTACTGAAATTATCTTCCCCCCTCCCCACTTTTCCTAGTGTAAAATACAATAAAATAATTAACTTTCGTTAGAATCTCGTACGGAAGGTTTTTTTTTTCGTAGGGCTAACGTGGCGGGATAAGAGGGTGGGGGGACGTGCCCTCCTATTATCGGGTCGGGGGGCGGGGGGGAGTCGAAGGTAACTCGGCTACTTATCTTCGGCAATTTCCGTGCTTTCGGGAGAGCAGAACCCAGGATCAGTTCGGTGTTGCAGAAAATGAAAGAACAAGGATCACGGTCTGAAAAGATCAATGAAAGCTTTCGCAAAAATATGAAAAGATAAATACGTAAGTGAAAACAACATGCAAAGCGAAGGTTGAGTCGCTCTAATGTATTTGACTGCAACTCATAGTAGTGAAAACGCAGATAACCGCCTTGTTTTTCCCGAATTTTAAGTATTGGGGCGACGTCTGGTGGACGTAAGTGGTCATTGCTGTTAGATAATTTTTATTCGCTGCTGTTTAATCTATACTGAGTGAAAATCCTTGTAAAAAGTGCATATCTCCTTGTGAAAAAAATATCGAAATATACATATATAGACATGGCAATTTCGCAGTGTATTACTTGAATTTGTAACAGGGAACACTTGTTAGACTAACAGTATATATTAAAATGTTTAATTGCGCTTCATAAACTGTTTACCTTCAACAACCGTTTCCTATGGATTTAGATAAATACCTTGAGAAATAACTTGAGATCAAAGTTTGAATCTCAGAACAATAAAAAATATAGTTCAATATACAGAACAATAACAGATCTGTAATGTAAAGAATGTATGGGTCAATCCAATCAATGTGGTTCATGTAATTAAATCACAAATTCCACCATTGGTCCTAAAAAACCATGAAAAATAACTGAACACTGAAAATGAGCAAATGACAGGAAAGAAATACACATTTTAAAAAATATTATCTGAAAAAAATCTTCACGGTTCTCTAAAATAAGGAGTCTCTTTGTGCAAATTTGTCATGTTTAACATCATTAGTCATGTAGTTACAGTGACTATTCAGTTGAATTTAACAGCTTTACTTGTGACCACAGCTGTTTGATTTGAAACTGCAAGTGGGAGGTTGGGTGGTATTTAAAGAAAAAGTTAGCAGCCCACACACGAAACAAAAACATAAAACACAATAGCAAAATTCAGTCCAGCTGGAATCTTCAGAAGAAAAGCATCAAACCCAAACCGTCTCCTCAATCGCTGGGCCCTGAGCCTGTTTAGTCTGACCTCCATGTGTCACCCTTAGGTGGGCCGATGTGCAGCTCGATGTGCAGCTATGTCTGTCTGAACATCCACGTCCTGGTTTGGCAGATCTCCCTCAGTACTTCACATTCACCTAATTGCCAGGTCCCATGAGTGAGTGAATTCTCTCATTCCATGGCCATTTTTCATATATGAAGCTAACTTTTGTTTGTTTTGGGTTTCGTTTGCCCCTGGAGGATGGGCTCCCCCCTTGAATCTGGTTCCTCCCAAGGATTCTTCCTTCTAGGGAGTTTTTCCTTGGTATTGTCGCCTCTGGTTTGCTCACTGGGGGCTTTGGGTGGGGACAATGTAACATTGTGAAAATGCACTATATAAAAATTTATTTGATTTTTGTTTGGGTTTTGGGATATCAGTCCTCTTTCATGATTCGCAAATATCATGTGGGACTTGGCTGTATTTACTCACAGAATATCAAAGATGCACCAGCTACTTGGTGCATTTTGCTTTTCGATGACCAAATATTCCACTGAACTGATCTGACCCAATCCAGGCATGGAATTTACAAACCCCAGGCACCAAGGTCACATTAACCGCACATAAATCCATTGCTTAAACTGCTGCATTAATTCATAGCTCCCATGTGTCAATTTATCTAGATGACCATACAGTGAATGTAGCAGCCTCACCAAGGATTGTCATGGCCGTTAACAAGAAGCACAAAAAGGGCTCCGGCTTACAGGTGACTTTCCTTTCAAGCTCTCAAAGGGTCATAAGAAAATGTCTGAGAGGTGTTAGCATAATGCGCTACAAGTGGCTCAGAGTGGCTGCAATATAGAGGGTCAGGTGTGTCTGGCTGAAGCCTGACCATTACTCCTGAATCAGAACTAACTCAGGTCCTTGAGCCATGGAGATCAGTCCATTATCCATGCAAGCAGCTGCATTACCTTACGAACTCTCACTCCTTCCTCACTCCCATGACCACGACTAGGATAAGCAGATGGATGAATGGATTAATCAATTTAAACTACTGTCAGCAGGGATCCCTTTTTATATATATATATATAAAAAAAAAAACTTAATGTGTGCTTTAATGTGTTCTTTATCCATTTCCACAGTAAAATCTGTTTAGATCAGTCTTAATTTTCAGTTTATGTAGGTAAACTGGAAGTCTAGACCTACTTGGTTGCAAAACAGCTTCTTACCAGCCTATCAGAAGGCAGAGCAATGAGAGGTGCACGCCTCACCTCCTACCAATAAACTGGAGTTACCCCCTTAGGGCGGTGCGGAGCTACCCCCTTAGGGCGGTGCGGAGTTACCCCCTTAGGGCGGTGCGGAGTTACCCCCTTAGGGCGGTGCGGAGTTACCCCCTTAGGGCGGTGTGCGCATTTTTCAATTAGAGGGCTGCGGATAATAAAACATTCATCTATGTTAAATGCCCCCTCTCCACCCACCAAGAAGGGCTACTTCTCTCCAACTGCAGGAACATTTCTC